CGTATGCGTGTGCGTGTGTGTGTGAATGCTGCGTGTGTGTGTGTGTGTGCGTGTGCGTGTGCGTGTGCGTGTGCGTGTGCGTGTGCGTGTGAATGGAAAGGTGAGTCTTGGCCGCGATCCTCACCTCATGACTCCATCATCGCCACAGGTTCGCGAGCACTTTTCCCCGGAATTCGTCAACAGAATCGGTGCGCTGCTCGCTGCTGTGTTGTGTTGTGTTAGCACAGATGATTGAAAGCTGCGTGTGTGTGCGTGTGTGCGTGCGTGTGTGCGTGTGTGTGTGTGTGCATTTTGACTCGTGTTTCTGCTGGCTTGTGCTGCACTTGTCGCGTCTTTGATATTTCACCCGCAGCTTCCTAATCACCTCCCCCCTTCCATTCATCAAAACAAACAAACACGCATCACTGCAGATGAGCTGGTTGTGTTCAACCGCCTCAGCCGTGAGGATATGGACGCAATCCTCGATATCAGAGTGAAGGAGGTGTGCACACGCGTGGTGGTGTTTTCAGTCGGTGTCGTGCTGCTGGATGAAATGATGTGGTTCAGCTGCAGTGTTTTCGATGTTGCAAGTCGTCTTTATCCATCACCAAGTCACGCAAACACGCACTCACACGCAAACACACACGCACTCTCACACGCAAACACGCACGCATACGCAAACACACACGCACACGCGCACACTCACACGCAAACACGCACACTCACACGCAAACACACACGCCCACAATGGAACAGCTGCAATACCAGCTGGAGGACAAGGACCTTGACCTCGAGCTGACGCCGGCTGCGCGGACGTGGCTGTGCGACGCGGGATACAACCCGACGTATGGCGCGCGTCCGCTCAACCGCGTCATCAAGCAGCACGTGATGAACCCGCTGGCGGTCAAGATGCTGGACGGGACATTCCCGCCAAAGTCGCACATCCGCGCAGATGTGGAGGGCGACGACATTGTGCTGACGAAAGCGAAATGAGCCGCGGTCGTGGTGGATGATGTGGGGTGTGTTTGGTGTTGCTGTTGAGGTGTTGGCATGTGGTGGTGGTGGTGGTGGTGTTGCTATTGAGTGGTGGTGGGGTGTGGCGTGTGGTGAATGGTGGACTGGTGGGAACTAGGCGGATGGATGGTTGCTTGTTGATTGGCTGTTACGCTCAAGAGGACTGCTGTGGCTGTGGCGTTGTGATGATGTACGATCATCGCAACAGCAATACAGAACTCAAGCTGCAATGAGTGTGACATGTTGACGTGAAGGCTGCCGAGGGTGAGGTGAAGATCATTTCACGATTGTTTATCAGGCAAAACGAAGGATCAACCGAACGAGCAAGCAAACAGGGTCAACTAAAGGATATTCTGTCACTCTGAAAGCAAGCAAACAACATACCTGACAGGCATAAACGTCAGCCGAGAAACAGGTGTTGAGGGTGCAAGACAACGGCAACGCTCCCACAACATTAGCGAAAGAGCCTCAAGTAATCGAGAGAGAATGAACTAACGGGTCGCATATGACTTGCTGAAGGTCGATCAGTTGCAGGGGGAGGGTACATCACAGTGGAATGCGTGTGCATACGCCATAACGTGAACGTGCACTCATGTACGCGCGTGCGCGCGAGCATGGGCACGTGTGGTTTGAGTAATTGTGCAAACGCGGTCATTCAAACATTCAATCAAACAGACAACTAATACAAGCAGACCATCATTCATGTCAACCAACTGACCAAACAAGCAAACGAGAACAGTGAATCAAACAACGAACAAGCAGAGGTTGGAAACCTTCAGAGAACAGAGAAATAAGAGTCACACGCGTTTACGAGTACGTGTGCGGATTGCGCTGTACAACTGCTGTCGCTTGCGGTAGAGGAAACAGCACGGCATCTGATCCACACAGCATCAGCGAGTAACATCGAGGTGAGCATGCAAACAAACAAACAAAACAAACAAACGAATTAATGCAATGCAACTGCAAGTAAGTCGCCGACAAAAGCATACGCACACGCACACACACACACGCACACACACACACACACACACACACACACACACACACACACACACACACACACACACACGCACACACACACACACGCACACAAACGGGTGTGCTCACCTTGATGGGATGTGTCACGAGCCCATGTTTGTTGTTGGTGGTGCTGCTGCAATGGAAGGCGCTGAAATGCAAGCTGGTGTGGCTGCCTCATATCGTGTGGAAGGGGGTGCATCTGATGAAATGGTTGTGGCATGGCAGGTGGTGGTGTGTACACGCCACACTGCGGTGGAAAAGCGTATGTGGCCAGCGCTGGAGTGGTGGCAACAGCAGGCAATTGACGACGAGTACGAGGAAGCAAAGGGTGTTCGTGAGACTCGGCAAATCATGATGCATTGCACATGCTATGGTTTTTGGGTTGGTAATGGCGGTGGCAGAACATTACAACGCAGCAGACACTTGGTGTTTTCACCCCACAATCCTTCTCCACACAAAGGACCCACCAGTCAAGGGCATGTTTGGA